AATCTCTGATACCAACTGTCACGGACTAACTTTCCTCAAGTCACCCGTGCGGCTTTAGCGCTCTTTCTTAGCACTAAATCAGCCTTACCCCTCACAACACTGGACTTATGAGCCCCAAACACTCTTAAGAAGAATAATAGAGAGAAAGGAATAATTAGCACTTGAATACTAGAATGCTTTGATTCAATGCTTGGGTAATTACAAATGAGGGGAGGAGCTCCTATTTATAGCCTCCTCCATGCCTTTGGCCTTTCATCTAGCCAATGTGGGACTATACAATATCCAAGAGAAGCTTCTAGATTACAATATAATATTCTATCTCTTAGACTATTCTTATGTACATAAATAACTCTAGAACATTCTAGGTTATTCTTAGATCCTCTTTAGAGCTTTCCCTCCTTGCTCTCTCCGGTATGTGGTGGAATCTTCTAGAGCCCCTTTGATGACTCCTCATATTCTGACCTTCTCTAGAATCTTCCATCCAGTGTTTGTCTCGACGATTTCTCGAATGTGGCAGAGCGTGACACTCCGCTCTTGTCCGCACGGAACTGCTCCACTCTTGTCTGCATCGAACCCCAAAAGTCGCTATCACTCCTGCTCCCTTTACTTTGGTCCATACAGTCTCTCTCCACCTCTCTCATCTCCCTCACTCATATGTGCTCCTTGTGCCATGACCCGTTGCTTGTGAGAACTCCAAGCCACATGCAGAGCTGCTCATTTGTAGGGTCGGCCGCTCTTTTCTTGACTGGTGACATGTAAAGCATGTTGAGACTTGCGGCAAAGGGCAGCGAGATAACAGGGTTAGGGTATTTCGACGGTTTTTTTTTTTTTGTCACTTGATATAGTGAGTGCTATATATGTAGATATCAAAGCTTGGGTGTTAAATATGTAAAATCCAATGTTTTGTTCCAATTGCTTTGTGGGGAACCTCATTTCCTCACAATTTTGATTTCAATTTAGGAAAATTAAATTCTTAAAATACCCATGAAAAGGTTTAAGGATTAATATCACGGTCAGTACAGTAGGAAAGCTTGATATAAACATTTTTTCTTCTAGCTAGAAAGTTGCTCTTGATTCTTGAATTTGACTTTTTTTCTAGACTAGAATGGCTGACTAATTGCCGTGAATTTTACAAACTGGAGCACATTTTCTGAATTATTTTCATAAGCATTATGTTTTATAGAAAGAAGACATATAGCCAATAAGCCCTGATAGTAACATCTACAAAAATTAAGGCTGGCAGTGTGATCAGTTATGGTTGAAACTTCGATCACATATTCTTAAATGAAGTTGATTCAAATCTATTAGATGATAGGTTGAATTCCATGACCATTTGCTTAAGCTTTCAATTAGGTCAAAAGAGTTGGAGTTAAATTTTGAAGCCATCATGCATAAGTTTGATAAGTTGACCTTAAGTATATGCTATATTTTTGTTGAATATTACTGCTAGAAATTCTGATAGTATCCTTTCTTTCTTTTAATTTCACTCAATCACTTCCATAGTTTAAAAACTATGTGATGTCAATATGCACCATTTTTCGATTTAAATTGGATACATATTTGAATATCTCTATCCTATTTTCACCTATTCAGTTTGATTAAATATTTGATAGGCGTTAATCAACCTCAGTAGGCGGGATCTTCCTTGTCATAGCTTCTCTGGAAGGCCAAGATCCCTTCATAGGCTGGCTCCAACATTATGCTCAACAAAGGCTTCAGCGGGTAAACATATCAGCTATGTGACCGAGTTTTCCTCTTACCTGCACGATCTCACAGGCCGAATTTTGGATGCCTCTCCACAACCCCTAAAAGAATTTCCATGGGAGAAGGCAAAATTAATGGTTAGGGAGCGCCTTCTTGTCCTTGGAAAGAATATGCTGGCATGGTCCCTTGTTACTCTGCTTATTTGCAATATTTTATATGACGCCCTTATGGCAGTTTTTATCAGCAGAGAGCTTTTGGTTCCGTTGGGTCTGTTCACTGGTGTTCTTCTGGCAGACTTCCTAAATGAAACCTGTCAAGAGCTCTTTCAAAGTAAGGCAAAGGTTTGTTTCATCCAAATTTTTGATATTTTTATCCAAGATTGGATTTCCCTGATTTGAATATTAATCAACTGCCTTGCTTTTGGAAATCCCCTTTATGCTCGAACAGTAGAAGTTGTGAGAGATTCAGGCAATTTTCAAAATGGAAATAGTTGAATGAAATGGCAGTTGTTTTTTGTTTATTATTATTTTAAAAACTTAGTCTTGATTTGATGATGTCGAACAGGGTGGAAATGATATGCAACTGCTTTGGGGCATCGGTTTATTTTTTCTGGCGCTAAGATTTATTTTTTTGAGGTTCAGAATAGTAGGGTGGATGCTTTTCTGCCACATTGGTAATGGTGGATTGATGCAAATCTTATGGCTGGCGAAGGAGATGCAGCAAGCTGAAATCCTTCAGAATAAGGAAGAAGAAGTGGATGCCCTGCCTCCTTCCTGAGGCTGAATTGCGGCTCATTGCATGTAAGAAAAATAACTAACTGAACTATCTATCTATCTATCTATATATATATTATATACCATCATATATATATATATATATATATATATTGTTGAATGACCTTCGTATGTGCAATCACGTAAATTTTAGGATGAATTAATTGCTACTTAAGGATTCCATTGGTTATAATTTTTCTTGTGTGCACTCCAAGCCATCGTAACTGAGTTGTATCAATTGGTATGTCTCATTACAAAGTTTATATCTGTGATGATTGGAGCAGCTACTTGGTGCAAGGAGCCGGTGAATGGTTTTATTTAGATTTTAATTTTCTGTAGAGGGCAAGGTATCATCTAACTAACGCTAACCTCTCTCTATCTTCTTCCACATGACTTTGGTCCATCGGATTTTTTATTTTAGGTTAGTCGCCTGTACTGAATTTGCTCTTTATTTTTAAAAATACCATATTTTGGTCCCTAGAACTTTTGATGGTTGAAGAAGGCAACTCAGTTTTTGGTCTTCAACTTGGCCCTCATAGCTTGACAACATGAGCCAATTTCTGTTAATTCCAAACATGTGTCATTCGGGCTACTTGCAGTGAATGTTTCTCATTTTACTTGACAATAATATACCTTCCAACTTCTTTTATTTATGAAACTTTCTTCTGGATAAAAAACTTTATAGCAAAACATACAAACCTAGTTTATTAAAGTGCAAATCCTTTTTTTAAAAAATAGAACAACAAAATATACTTTTTTGAGCAAGCGAGCAAAGAAATCCTTGACAAATGTGTGCCAAAAATTCATACTTTCAATTACAAAGTAATTAGTAAAGGGCCCATTCAGAATGTTTTTTTTGTCTAGTTTTGTTTTTAAAGCACTTGTTTATTTTGTGTTTTTTAATTATTTTTATATTTTAGTTTTAAAAGTAAATCATGCTGTTTCAAAATGATTGAGCAGTTTTGAGTATTTCAAAACTAATTATCATAATTGTATGCCATCACGACCGCTCTCATCCATTGATGCTGTCATCTTAGAACGTTGGCAAAATTATGTGTCATAACTGGAAACATGAGGAGCTACAATCATCTTCAAGAACATAACGTTTTTAATAAAATGATAATTAATTTCAATATGTCTGATTCTTTTCTACAACCAACAAGGAAAACCATAATTGCTCCTTTACCCTAGAAAGAAGAATCACTGTTTAGTTCTGTTCCATGAAGACTAGAATAACTCGCACCTTATTTTTTAAGCAAGGGTATTTCTTGCAAATTCTCCAACGTGCTTAGTCTTATTTTTTAAGCAAGGTTATTTATTGCAAATTCTCCAAACGGTTTAGCGTGGTCCCATGCAGAAAAAAGATAAATCCAATTTTTGATGAAGGATATTTTAATGTATAGGTTTCCTTTGTTTAATGAAATGATACTATCAATGAAATTCAGGTCCAGAATACCATTTGATACAGGTCTAGGTATATTGAGCTTCTTTTAATTTTAAAGTTTTAAGTGTTTGCCCCAATGCTTCTTATGATTTTAAATAACCCTCTCTTTCTAGAAATTAAAGTTTTAAAAGCTCATATAGGAGATTTTTTAAGGCTCAGATTTATATTTATTATATCACCATGTCTAAATTTGCATGTTTTCCCTGCACATGAGGAGTAGATCTATAATTATTGTAAGCAATAGCCCATTTCTTATAAAAATAAAGCAGTAATAAACGTTCATTCTTTAGCAAATGTTAGTTTTTTGTAAATTTACTCAGCTTAAATGTAATATAAAGTTCACCAATATATATTAATTTTTCAGGTTGAAAATGACAAATAAGTCATATGGGGCTCATGGGCAAGCTATAGATCTCGTGGTTCAAGAGACTTTGACATTATATTTATGAACTCTAAATAATCTTTTTACCCCTTCAGCGACCTCGAGCTGGTTGTTACAATCATATAGTGAAGATGGTCAAGAATAGCAGAAAGGAGCTTAGTGCTGCAATCATCCTTTCTAATGTCATTGCTGAAATATTTTCAAGACGTGCTTTGAAGTTTGCCAAATCCCAATTATTTGCAGTTGAATTTTTGAATTTCTAGCCTTCAAAAAATATTTTTTATTAGCCGACAAAGCATACAAAATTTAGATTGTCTTTTTTTACTCTGAACGTTTAGGAGAGTAACTTGCAAAATTTTTTAAGGGAAAATTATATACAAACCGATACCAAATCGATCTATTTATGTGTGTCATGATCAAACTATTGAGAATTTGATAAAATGAAAAACATTGGTCGGGATTTTACCATGAATTTTAATATTTGAGTGAGAATTGAAAAAATGGATGAAAGAGGGTGGTTGATTTAATTATGTTGGCAAGAGAAACTTTTATTACCATGTTGATGTTATTGCTATGTAGCTATTTCAGTATTTTTAGTTATTTCCAATGATGATTAGCGATGTTTAGGTTCATGCCTTTATTGAGCACTAACTTGAGAATTCTTCGGAGATTTGAAGTTAGGTGGAGCAATCATGTTGAGAATATGGTACATAATGTTTTTGTAGTATTCAAAACAATTGTCATTTTTTTTCATCTGTAATTTTCATTTTTATAGCCACTTGATTGCGCCAGCTGTTGTAGATTTCACTTCTCTTCGAGATGGTGCAAATTTGAAATCATATAATTGAAAAACTTTCATTCAATATTCCAAGTCAAATTAAGATCTTTGTGCGGACATGTCAAATGTAGCAACTGGTATTTATTTACTTATTTTTGAGAGTTTGATTGAGCAGGGATGCCCTCCAAATGAACCTTGAGGTGAGGCCATTAGTTTAAACTATAATTTCTTTTATAAAATGAGGGATCCTAAAACCCACGGCTACATTAAATGAAATAAATTGGATAAATAAATCTCAACTAGCTTCTGATCAGATGGGCTCAAGGTTGTCAGTCTTATCTTGAAGTGTAATATAAGTTTTAATTGATTATTCAAATATTATGCTTCTTTCAAAATAAATGCAATAGTTTTATGACCCATCATTATTTTTTATACACATTAATTAAAAAAAATCAGGATAAGACAATCATTTTTCAAATTAAAACTCAAAACCAAACATTGTATTTATTTTGACATCGATGCACAATAAAATTTGATTATCATTTACATTGTATTATCTCATAGCAAATCTGACAATTTTCTATTATGCTTCATCACTTTTTTTTTTAAATGTTCACATTAATAAGTAGTTTGAAAGTTCCCTTAGCCGGCCTGCTTTCATCACCAAGTAAATCAAATAGATTTTTGAATCATCTTGACCAACCGTCAACACTTACTCAAATGCTTTGCATGGTGTTGCTAGGAAATGTACAATCCAACACGGTGGTCTTGTTTTCCGCTGAGGCTATACAGCCATTGTTGATTAGGGGAGCAACCAGTAGACGCATGTAAGCTATTTCAATAAATATTGCTACAATATGTCAATGGTACCTATTTTTGAGGTTACATCTATGAACTAATCGAGTTAAAATTCTAGTAACATTCCACAATGTAGTTTATGGTACGCAACAACTCTAACACAATATCATTCTAACATATCAGAAAGCAGAAACTGGCTTAATTTATCCAATTGAGTAAGGTAACTAGAAATAAAAACTACACACCCTTCATGGCTATATCTATATATTGGTCTACCATCTAGTTAACTTATGTAACATGCAAAACAACTGAGGTTTGTGTCAAAATACTCCCTGGGAGGATCTTTCTCTTATTCACTTTAGAAGATTAATGAGCTGAAATATGGCTCAAAAGAGAACTAAGCTCGCCGCAAAAAAAGCCTGCCGAATTAGATGTGTAGAATTAAATTTGGAACCAGAGACCCAGAGTTAGTTATCCTCTCTGCTACACCCGTCAACTAGCTCATCCTCGTGAATAGTTGCAGTCTGACAATAAGCAGATTGAAGTAGCTTATGGATTTCTTCCATTTTTCCCGACATCTCATCCTGTCTGTCCATCTCAACGAGAGCCTGTGGGGGTTCCAAAATTACATCAGGCGATGCATTAACGTATTTAATCAAAACTAAGCCATAGTAATTCCTATCAGTTATATGATTCATGAGTCGAAAGGAATATATGATTAAATCTAAAGGCAATTAAATTGTATTACAAAAGGTGTGTACAAACCAAGCTAAGCACCAACCTGTGCAGAGAATTTTTTGAATATTGGAAGGAACCGTTTTCTGCAGTACTCATGGAAAAGGAGGGTGAATATCACAAGAGGGATCATGAATCCTGATGCGACCGTTGATTTCTTTAAACCGAAGACTCCAAGGGCTATTATCTGTGCAAGCACGAGGGAGAAGATTGTGGTGTTGTGGACAACGGGCCATAGCTGTCCCCCACTCTCATATTTCGTACGATAAACATTGAGCATCTGAAGAACGAAAAGAAACAGTATGCAAGTCAACCTGTTGTGGAAAATGTAAAACCTAAATCACTAAATTTAGTTCTCATCCTTATTTTTAGAAAGTTATATGACAACCTAATGACAAGTGCCTAGTATGATTAATATATACATTATTTTAACCTTTTTCATGCTTATTATTCGATTGAAAGCTAATAGTTCAATATATATTAAGTTAGATTAAGCTATTTTGGTAATTCTATTTCTTAAAGAATTACTTTTAATGCTAGAAAAAAATTTGTACTAATTACCTCAAAGTTTAACTGGGTCTAATTTAAAAAAAAACCATGAATTATTCTAATCGGTTATGGTTAAGAAGTGCATCATCTTATAATATTTAGTTTATTTAATAACTATTAAATGATATAATATTTCAAAATATGCTTCTATCTTATCGTATCATACTGTCAGGCACATACACGCACAATTCATGCTTAGTATCACCATTTGTAAAATACATTCAATATTCTTAAACTACTCATTTATAGTTAACAAAATCACTTGATCTTCAAGAAATATTGATTAAAGTAACTTAAAATGCATTTAAATGCATGCAATTTGTTTTGTTTAACTTTACTAATTTTAGTTTCTCATCTAATAAAAGTTCCTTAATCCATATAACTTCTCTTCGGAAAAAAATTTTACACGGCACTTGTTAATTAAGGATTACGATGCAACAGTACCAAAGTCTCCCTAAAAATGGAAAGCTATAGCGTAGAGTAAATACTGTGATTTCTAATTAAATGCCAAAGAGCTGATAAAATGCTAACCTGGTTGCGGTATACCAAGTAACCAAGCGAGAAATATACCATCAAGAATGGCAAAATCAATGGTGCCAGAATAGAGCATGTGAATCCAAGAAGCCCAAAAAGTAGAACTCTGGGAACTTCAGTATGGTATGGAAATGTTGGCACCTTGTTCGGATCATCCGCCTTCTTCCTAAATACATGCTTTTGTAGAAGATTATACGTAAGGGAAAAACATTGTACTAGCTCAGCACATAAACTTGTCCAGCCTGAAGTCAAGACATAAGTAATAAAAAAGGTAGCCTGTAAAAGGAAGAAAAAAAAACATTAAAACACTATTTTTCTCACTTTGAGTAAAAGAGTAGTATTTGTAATAACCGTATTTATTTCTCACTTTGAGTAAATGACAAAGCGTCCGAACCACTATGTGTGTTACCGAGAAGAAGGCGTCTCGTGCGAGGAAAACAGAATTAACTTTTGTGCGGGAGGAGAGGAGTTCAAGCATTAAGAGGAAGGAGAAAGTGGCTAGTGTGAGAAGAACTGAACAAAGCCGGGCAGCCCGAGGTTGCGGATTTGTTCCCTTATGGGAGTTTAGGTTGCGCCAAGCCCATGAACTGAGAACTATGGTAATATTAGTTTAACTTTATTTTCATATAACTTTACTTAAATTAATCTTATAAATATTAATATCAGTTTATATTGAATTATAATACAAATTTTAAATCGAATAACTCTTGCTTCAAAAGATATAGAAATCAAAATTGTTGACTTTCATAGAAGGAGAAGAAAGAAAAGGTATGGAATATACTTTGATGTTTTTATTTATGTAAGTTCAATTAATTTGAACTGTTAATAAGTTAATACTAAGATCTTATGAATTAAAATCCGTGATTAAGACTCTATGAGCAATCAAATTAAAGGACGAGAATCTTCTGAGAATTAGGTGGATAATTGTATTCCTAAATTTCAATAATTTTCATCATTTTTAAATGTATGTTTGATTTCATTTATGCTTTATGACAGTGAGAGTTAGCTTACAACATATTATTTATAATGTTAAATAGAAAAATAGGCATGAATTTCCTATAAAGTTATTAGATTATTGGACATGTAAATTACAGTAGTGGTGTATATATTATATTATTGCATGATCTTTAGATCAAGTAGAGATGTATATCAAAGATGCATAACATATTATTTAAAAACCTTTAAAAGAATGCATGTTAACAATCATGCATAAGCAGTTGTATAATAGTTTACCTACCAGATTATTAGTGTTGTGAGATATGTACTTCCTGACATAAAAAATGAAACGCAAAGAACACAAGCAAACACAGATCGTTTACGTGGTTCGATCCAACTGGATCTACGTCCACGGGAGGGAATCAATCAAATAGTTCACTAAGGCAAAAGAAATGGAGAATACATAGCTTATACATAGAGATGAGCTCTCATCTTCCTTCTATGGCCTCCCTCACAAGCGACACCTTGATACAAGACCTCAAAATGCTCTCCTCCTCTCTAGCTCTCTAGCTATTCTCTCCTCCTTTGTGGTAGCTTAAGATCTCTTCTCTTGCTCTCCTAAGCCTCACACCCTTAAGCCTAAGTCTCACACCCTCTCTATTTATAGAAGCAAGAGAGTGGTAGGTGGAAGGTAGGTGAGCGGTTGGCGAACAGTGGGTGAACGGTAGGTGAGATGTGGTAGGTGAGTGGTACCACATTACAAAAGTACCCTTTTACCTTAGTTCATTAATTGAGGGTCAAAATAACAATTCTCCACCATGACCCTCAATTGAGAAGCTACGAAGTAAGTAAAGATTCCCTCCACCTGGCCCCTGAGGGGCCCTCAGCCCTTGCTTGAGTCTGCTAAGTCCAAACAATACATGGACTTAGCAATCACGGTTCTTCCGATAAGAGAGTACAATCCTTTTTTTCCTGACTCCTTGTATGATGACACGAGGGCCTTTGGTTACTCTGATGCAGTCATTCTCTGCCTTGAACGAGCATCCGCTTGACTCCAACGTACTTAAAGAAATTAGATTTCTTTTGAGCTCTGGTACGTATCTGACATTTTTCAGTACTCGTTCAACTCCATCAAACATCCTTATCCTGATTGATCCACTTCCAACAACCCTGTGAGCTTTATTGTCTCCCAGTAGAACGGACCCATCATTTTCCTGTTGCAGTGTCTCGAACCAGTTTTTGTGAGGACACATGTGGAAAGAACACCCTGAGT